GGGGCACCCCACGGCCGCAGGCGTTGGCATACGGATCCTGCGCGCCGCCGGGGCCAGCACCCAGCCAAAGGCGCTTTACTCCCAGCGCCGTATCCACCTCCATGTGGGTAATTAGTAACCATCGAGGGATGGCAAACGATCTTTAACCAGAGCAGCTGAGCGCTCGGGACCCCGCTCACCTTCAGTGCGGCCCAGCGTGGCTCTAAACCTGCAAAAGTGTCCCCAAACTTCTTCCCCCTGTCCCCAAGGGGGGCATGCGTTGTCCCCCCGCGCACACCCTCGTCCCGCGGAAGGGACATGGAGGGTGAAGGAGGGGTTTGTCACTACTCACTAGCGCAGGAGCGGAGACAAACTTTGCACAGGCGTACATGGCGAGGGACGGAGGGACAGACAGGCAGGACAGGGCTGGGAGAGACACACAGACACCGGGGCGTGAGGAGCCGCAGGGTGTGGGATCCGGCCTCACGGATGGGGGGGGGGCCCCCGGGGCAGAGGCGGGGGAGTCACCCCAAAACTCTGTGTGTGTGGGAGGTGTCATCCCAAAACAGGGGGGGGTCACCCCAAAACTCTGTATGGGGGAGGTGTCATCCCAAAACAGGGAGGAGTCACCCCAAAACTCTGTGTGTGTGGGAGGTGTCATCCCAAAACAGGGGGGGGTCACCCCAAAACTCTGTATGGGGGAGGTGTCATCCCAAAACAGGGAGGAGTCACCCCAAAACTCTGTGTGTGTGGGAGGTGTCATCCCAAAACAGGGGGGGGTCACCCCAAAACTCTGTATGGGGGAGGTGTCATCCCAAAACAGGGAGGAGTCACCCCAAAACTCTGTGTGTGTGGGAGGTGTCATCCCAAAACAGGGGGGAGTCACCCCAAAACTCTGTGTGTGGGGCGGGGGGTCACCCCAAAACTCTGTATGGGGGAGGTGTCACCCCAAAACAGGGGGGAGTCACCCCAAAACTCTGTGTGTGGGGCGGGGGGTCACCCCAAAACTCTGTATGGGGGAGGTGTCACCCCAAAACAGGGGGGAGTCACCCCAAAACTCTGTATGGGGGAGGTGTCACCCCAAAACAGGGGGGAGTCACCCCAAAACTCTGTGTGTGGGGGAAGGTCACCCCAAAACTCTGTATGGGGGGGTTGTCACACGAAAACTGGGAGGGGTCACCCCAAAACTCTGTGTGTGGGTCACCCCAAAACCCAGGGGGGGT